CAATTTGCCTCATTTTGATAGGCTGCCTCTTCTTCCATCTTCCAGGAGATTAAAGATTCTCACAAGGGACCATTGAGCTCCAATGCTACTAGTACTCCATTCAGAAAATGGGTTCTGAATGGAAAGAGAGTCCTGTGGCCCTACACTCACCATTAACCTGCAGAGCCTAGAGTACCAGAAGGAAGTGAGGGATAGACGGGGGTTCTTAAATTCTAGGATATTTGTGGAAAAGCAGAGTTCCATTCATCATACCTGTTTCCTCCCCCACTCCTGCCCTTTGCCTGGGAAGACTTCCTTCTTCCTTATCCTGCTTGGGAGATGCTAGTGGAAAGATTCGAGAAAAGACTGTTGGGATGGGCCAGGGTTAACAGCCAATAACAAATGGAAGGTATGCATGGAGATAGTGTAAATTATCCATGGTTTGTCATCTTCCAGGATACTCTTGAAAAGCTGATTTGCCCTTTTAGGGTAATATACTACAAAAGGATAGAGAAAATACCACCTAAAGATGACACCATCTAAGATACAAAAGGAAGAAGTCACACTTTCACAGATTATTTGTGGAACTGCCAGATAGGGAAGTGTTAGCGGAAGGCAGCTACACCTTTATTCACGTTTATCCTCCATAACATCTTATTCAATCCAGCCTCTGAATTGCAGATACAGGAAAGAGTAAAGATAGGAAAGAATAATTAAAATAGAGCCCCATCCCCAAACTCTTCCAATACTAACTTGGATTATCTTAATGATTTTAGGTGTGTTTGTGATGTTTCTTAATCAGATACTGCCAATGTAATGCGTGAAAGTAGGAGAAATAAAATCATGACTATCACTCATCAGAAAAATTATCCAAAACCTGGAAATAGGCAAAAGATATTAATGTCTTTCAGTACAGTGCTGCATTTGAATTTATATCAACAAGGCGACTTTATAGCTCTGTAGTGCAGGGGTTATTTTGTTGACTTTTATCCAGTAGAGTCAAATAATATCTGTCCAATGGAAGAGATAACCTCAAAGTTTATGGTTTATTATACTGTGCGACACTAACCTAGTTTTATATCTAATCCTTTGATTTATCCCAATTTTTAAAATATGTATTATACATATTACTAGCTTCTCAAATGCTCTTTGTACTAGTTTTAACATCTTACTGGTTCCCTCATTAGTAAATGAGTTCAACAAAATCCTTGATTTGTTCATTTTACCCCTGTATGAGTTATATTTTTAACTCTTTCAAAATTATACTTTAACACTCTAATAATTTTCATTAGCTCTCAAGACCATCCTATGTTCTAGTGAACTTACCTAATAAGATTAGTTCATTGGTAAATAACCTCACACTTCAAAATCTGAAACATTACACCAATTATTTGTCTTTCCTGTTTTCTATAACCACAACACCCCTACCTCCCAACCAAGTCATTCCACAGTCAGTTCTTGTTTTTTCATAGGTCCCAACCCGTGTTTGACCTTCATAACTTTATAACAGATTATTTGCCAAAGTTAGCTTTGCCTAAGCCATTTAATTAAGCAGCAGGCAATTAGAAAAAAATATTTAATACGTCAAATTTCTTTTTCTTTATCTTTATCACTCCGAAAGCAGATATGTAAGTCAAAATATGATATGAGACTTTATATTTATAATACACTGAGTTCAACAGACAGAAAAATATTCTGAATGTCCTAATGAAGGGTTAAATTAAGTGAAAAATAATGATGCCCAAAAGTAATTACATCATGAAAGGTTATGCTACAAAAAAATTTAAAAGGGAAAAAACTGAAATAGAACAGTCACTGAAAATTGTTTTTTAAAACAACTATGATGTAATCTATGCAGAAATAGAAGTACAATGATGTACACCTGAAATTTTTGCAATGTCATAAACCAATGTTACTGCAATAAACAAACAAACAAACAAAAAAACTATGGTTCTACTTTTTGCTATTATAATATGACACTTTTCAAGAGTGACAGTAAGCAAGTTTCTGAACATTCATACACACAATTTTTTCTTAAGGAAATCTTTTCTTCTAGCTATGGTCAAATGTTCTTTATTGTTCATATCTTCATTAAAGGGCACCATAATAAAAGCGAAAAGAAACATTTCTAAAGATTACTATATAAGATTAGAACATTCTATAATTTGGTATTATTTCTCACTCATCCTTTCATGCGAGCTCATTACTAAGTTTTAGCAATGTTATCGTAAAACATGAATGAAAATACTGACTTTAAAGGAAACTAAATAAGTGAAAGGAGAAAAATTGGTAAGGTTGCATAATAGAGTTTAAGAATGACATTTCTTCCACTTACTGTCTGAATAAAATATCAGTGTTGGATAATATAATTTAGAAAATTGTTAATACTCTTTCTGTACCGTCATTGATAAATAGAGAATATAGAGTTAAAGGGGAAGAAAATATAAATGACATCTCTTCCTAGTAATATTTCCTGTAATATGGTATTTAAATTAAAAAAGTAAAATCTTGTTCATCCGAAATGCCGAACTTTCTGTAAAAATTTCTGATAAACACTAAAAATTAAGTTAGCCATTCAGTTCCTATTCATGTTCCAATAGTCACCCCTCAAATTTAAATTTATGATTAGTTTTTCTTAAAAATAAAATTAGTATGTGACAAATCAACCATCATTGATTTAGACACCTTTAAATATTAACTAGTATAACCTAAAATTTTTTTAAAATCGAGGTCAGATTTGGCCCAAGGTCACACTAATATATTGCTCATTGTCTACTAGTGACATTTGCTGAATATACCTCAGGCTACATTTTTAGCATTCCCTCTGGCATGCTGAGATTAGATGTGACATTTCTTGGCCAGAATAAAACACAAGGTCGATTCTAAAGAATATAATACTATCTTTTTTCCAGGCAACTTTGCGTTTGCTTATCTGTAGTACACAGGCAGTTCATTTTAAAGCATAGGACTTATGAACCACTACCAGCACATGCTAAATCCTCCTCCTTCCAGGATGCCTCCCCACATTGTCCCAGCCTTATGACTACCTCCAGAGCCCTCAGCAAAATCCCTGAGAAAATAACCACAGTGGAGGTCAGGATTCTCCAGCTCCTACTGTAAGAGGTTGAGGGAGTTTATCCTCCCATCGCCTGGGGAGGGTGATAGTTGCATTAAGAAGAAAGTTTCTCACTGAGATAATGTTATAAAGCATGATTGGCATGTGTAAATCCATGAGAACTATTACTCAACTCTATTATGAGTTAAATAAGATTTTTTAGAACACCAAACAATTATCAATTATTTATAAAAGTACTTAGGAAAAACAACCCATTGGTAAGTTTGTAATAGGAAGAACAATTTTGGAATGTCATGAATTATGCTTAATATTTTATTTTTCTTCCTAAAACCTTAAAAGAAAAAGTAATAATAATGAAAACCCACCTTTGGCCTGAAAGCCAGCTTTGCTCTTGTAATCACCCTGTTGCATCCACTTACCCTAATTAGAGTCAATTAGTCAATGAAAACATACTTGCATTTTGCTCTCTGAATGAAATGCAACGCTTGTAAAATTCAAGGATTTTTCTCAACCAAACATATGGATACTGACTAGCTAAAATTAAGCCAAAAAATCTTAAAAACCGCTAATAATCTCCAATACAAAGAAAACTGTCAACGTTAAAGTTAAAATACAATTATAATTACTTTTCTTGGTATGGCTATTGGTACTGAGCTACATGACACAATAAAATATATTAAATATGCAGTTATGAGTTTATTTTCTTTTAAAATAGGTCTTATCTAGAAAGGCACACCTAGAGGTGGGTTTAGGATCCTGATTACAGGATTGTATTTATCAGTAATTCACATTATCTGAAAACTTGAAAATAATGCCCTCACTCCTTGATTTAAATGTTATCTACAAACAACAAATACTATTAGGAGAAACTCAACAAAAGACCAATAAATACACATTTCCTTTTGTATGCAGCTCTCTGTCTGTGTAGGTATCTAGGAAATGTTACTATATGTCGAAGGAGCCCGAGCTACACTACTTCAACTCTCTCTATTACATAAAGTGACTGTCAATATCTGGGTTGAAGCTACAGAGCACAGATAGCTCTTTATATCTATAAGAAGTGCAATGAGCCATCCAAGCTAACTCAGCAGAGAGAACATTTACTAACAAAATGATTGTAGAGACCCATTGACTTGATGGATGTCTGGGATTCTATAGAATAGAGGAGCACAGAACGCAAATGGTAACAGATTTGAAAGCCTTTAACAGGCTCCTTTTATCCATCCTAGCATGGTTTATTAGCATGACACAGGCTCTCTGCTTTCCCTCTCTTTAATGATACTGTTCTATGAACCAATGAATGTTTTCATTTGGAAAATAAGAAAGCACTGACATATTATCTGAACCGTGGTTTCTGTAGTGATGCCAAGGGAATAAATATGCTAATTCTGTGCTTTGAGGAATGTACTGAGTAAGGCCCATTACTTCCCTGATTTCAGTGGATACTAGGCCCAGGTGAGAAAAGGGTGATATTACCCTGGAATATTTCATTATGCAAAAGTTTTGACGTAGAAAATGGAGAATTTCAGTGACACATTGATATACTTTTAGATGGTGATTTTCATACTACATTTTCCCAAGTAAAACTAACTCGTCATTTCCCTCAAGCTACTGCTGGATTCTTTTTAAAAGAAGCAATTACTATGAAAAACTACCACAGAAATCTTGAAATATTCACAAAACTTTACACAAATAATTCTTTTTCATATAGGAATAACAGACACTCTTCTTTATGTCCACACGAATGTACAAAAACACATTCCTCGAGGAAATAGTAGTTCCTTGGCACACTAGGGCTTTTACAACAGGACTTAAATAGCAGCAGAAGTGCCAACTGGAAAGAGTTTTCCCTGGCTTTAAAACTGGAACGAAACAACTCTCAACATTTGCAAAACATTCCTTTATTATTAGAAATAAATTATTTGTATAAAAAATTGCATGCGTCAACCATTGCATTTATTTTTAGCACAACCCAGGGCTTCAATCCGGTCAGCCATTACAAGAAACAGACTCGGTGTCTTATACAAGTTGAACAATGAGGGACAGGAACGGGAGTTCTCACAATCACAGAAAAATACTTACAAGAATAACATCAGACATGATTTATTTCAACAGCGTTTTTTTTTTCACAAGCTAACATTAATTTTCCTTTTGTGATTTTTTTTAACTGCTCATGAGTAAGCAATACTTTAGCTTGACACTCATTGATTGTATTGTATAAAATGGGTTTCTTCACTCCTTGTTATTGATACTTTTGGTGCGTGGCTACTTTTTATTTCTTACAAGATTGACTATTGATTTGATTGATTGTAGTCTACAGAGATCTCCAGGAGTGAGTTTTGGCGGTGTCATGTTCATTGTTCAAGATCATATACCAGATTTCTTCACATTGTATCATTTCCCTGTTTCAGATTGAATGATTGCTGTAGCTGATATATGTTGTCTTGGTAGAGGAAGCTGTTAAGAGAAATTAAGACAAATTAATAGTATATAATAGTAAATTATTTTGTTAAAATGATAGTGACATTCTAATCCTGTAGTGACTATTTTTATGATGTTCAGTTTTTATAATATGTTATTTATTATTTTTTAAACCGTGTAGTAGGAATTCAATGATCGTAGAAATAAAAATGCAGCAGCAATTTAAATCTGTGAAACCACTAGTCTCATTTATAGTGTAGATATTTAGCAGAAAACTAAAAATGTAAAAGTTCTAATCTTTAATAAATTTAGGTGAAATTCAACTTAAATGTATACTTTGATTAACAAAGATTTACAATATGAAAAATGAAAGACTAGATAAATTGTCTATCCTGCAAAATACAAAAAATATTTTTTTACAATACAAGTTAAGGACTTCTTCAATTCTTTTAGTCTTATATGGTGACCAAAATATATCAAATATATAGAATATTAAAGTGAACATGTGTATTGTCAATACATATTTACAGTCTGGTTTCATCCACAGGATACAAATGAAGCTGTTTAAAAAATAAATAAAGACTTGAGGCCAGCCTGGTGGCATAGTGGTTAAGTTCACACGCTCCACCTTTGCAGGCTGAGGTTTGCGGGTTCGGATTCCGGGCGTGGACCTACACAGTGCTCATCAAGCCATGCTGTGGTTGCATCCCACACATAAAATAGAGGAAGAATGGCACAGATGTGAGTTCAGGGCCCATCTTCCTCAAGCAAAAAGAGGAAGATTGGCAACAGATGTTAGCTCAGGGCCAATCTTCCTCACCAAAAAAAAAAAAAAAAGAATGAAAAAGAAAGAAAGAAAGACTCAAAGAAGGAAATGAATGTTTAATTGTTCCGGTACCAATTTACCATGAAGTAAAAGCCATTATTGTAAGATTATTAGAAAGATATGAATAACTAAATATTAAGTCAAATTTCCGAAGAATATAAGGCTAAATCCGAATAATTTCTTTGGGTTTTTGAAAGATGTGAAGGGATAAATCTCTGTTCTAAAATTCAAATGTGATATCCTACTTCTCTGTGGAATTCTGGAATGAATAATCATAGGAAGAAAGATATAAAAATTGCAAAACATGTATGTATTTCACTACATAGATCCAATTCAGGACAAAACAGATTTTTAGAGAATAATTTAGTTTTTGAACATTGAATAAGGAAATTGTAAAACTCCCCCTCTGAAATAATTGATAATCAGACTCATTCCATTTTAGTGTACATTAACACTGGTAATTGACCAGACAAGTTCTCACCAGAGACAGAGATCATACAAACCTCACAATCACTAAAATTAATGCAGATAGCCCAAGGAAGTGCTAATTGTAGATATTTTTGCTATTTTTGATTTCACTGAATATTATGAGCTTCTTGCCAAAAGTAGATGACATATCTGCTTATCTTATTTACGTTGCTCACACTTCTTCTAGGTTATTATTGTAGCAGAGTGGAAAGGAAGTAGATTTTAGGCCTTGTTTTAAATTACAATCTGTTCGCTACAAAATGAATGAAAAATAATCATTGAACCAGGCCACTAGGCCTCAGTTTCATCACTGGCCCCAAATCTACAACATTGGATTTTTGTGAGGATAGAGGCAAAGTAGATTTGTGGGGGAATGGCAGTTGTCTGGGAGAATCAATATGGAATCCTACTTTTCTACTTACCCCTTTCAGAAGTTAGGATGTCTATTACATTTGGTTTGATGTGAAGTGAGACACAATGATTTTTATGCTCAGTTACTTTTATTTTAGTTTTATTTTTAATTTATATAATGCTCTCATATGCCTTCTAATTTCCCCTAAGAAAATAAAATCTGTACTTTAACTATGTTTTTGAAGAAGTTTCATATAATCTTTGTAGACAAGATGAAGAAAAATTGTCATAAGAGTTAGAAAAATGACCCTTAAAAAGGTTGCTCGACTTCCTACACTATTGAATATATTTAACAATAACTAAAAATGTAGGAAATATTTATCAAATTTGTAGATAGCTAGAAAGAAAAATTATAGTTGAAATAGAGGCCCAAGAGCCAACAAAGACCTTGAAGAAGATGGTATTCTGAAGTTAATTCAACAGAAGGTGATTTGGATCAGACCACAGTCAAGGATCATTCCAACTTTAAGATCCTATAGCTAAGTAAAGATGCATACTTCAATTTTTGAATTCTTAGATGTGATGTCCAGGGAAAAAGATGATAGAATTCTATTGAGAATTGAGACTATAAGGTGAGACTTCATAAAAGGAAAGTAATCTTATTTTTCTAATGGTTAGAAAAGGGAATGCTGGGCTCTGAAAACTGATGATTTAGTCAACGAGAAAACAATAAGGGACAAACTTTGTGAATGGTAGATATCTTGCAAGAATATTTATCCCAGAAGTATTACAGAGCAGATTGGATCACTGAGAGACAAGTAGGGAGAGTTTTTACAGTAGTGATGAATATGCTTATGTGAAAATCAGTTTTCGAATAGAGCAACAATGAGTTTCCTGTGAACACCACACTGCGTTCATTAGCTAGAGAAAGCAGATCTACCTTCAACGGCAGCTGTTTTCATAAATTATTCATGAACTTAGCTTAAGAAATATCATGTTACAGCATTTGTTAACTGGGTACAGTTGATAAAATTCATATATATCAACTTTGTTTCTAACTCCTTTCCCACATTTTTAATGAAAGAACACTTGACCTTTTTTGTGTGACACGTAGTATTCTGCAAATTCGGGCATTAGCATGGACTCATTGGTCTCCCTCCCAGCTTCACATTACTTATATTTATTCTATGTAGCTTTTGAAGCTTTAAAGCCTTCAATATGTGACCAGAATTTCTGGCATTAACAAGTCATCTGTAAGATGAAGTTTCTATGTATGATGAACTTATAGAGCTCCATGGCCAAGAAGGAAAAACATTGCATGTATATCATAAATACACAGTTAATTGGTCAAAAAAAATCCCAACAATAGAATAGTAGCCATAATTATCAAAATCCTCCATATTAAAAAAAAAATGAAGAAAGAGGGATGCTAAAACAATAGTTTTTATTTTTAAGTCTTCTCTTTTCTATTAACCACAAACTAATCTACATTTTCATAGCAGCAATGATACTTTTACCTTTAGGCAGTGATTTATAGTTCACAAAACACTTTCATGTATGTCATTGTCACTTGATTGTAGTAATGGTGATTTATCAAAGTCTGACAGCAGAAAGTGTGAGAATGCAGCAACATGGATATGGTTCTAGTGGATTAACCAGCTCCGGATTTATTGAGAATAGACCATTTTGAGAGGAAGTGTTCTAAATCTGAGGTGGCACAGTACTAGCTACAGATAGTACAATGGTAAATGCTTTTCCAATATTTAATTGTACTTCTAAAGACATAACACACTTTTAGAAGAAAAATATTGCATTTAAGTTATTCAAGTTATTGCTAGTTTTAGAGAGTTTGTGATTTTAGAAGACTTTTGACTCAATTAAAACCACTGGTACACGGAGTCCATGATATCTAGTTGTGAACAAAGGTTGACAATGGTTACCTGGAGTGGGATTGTGAAAGGATGTGTCAAGATTTCATACACTGTCTCTCCTGAATGTGTAAACTATAATCACTTTATCTGGGCCCAATTTATTGAAATCCAAACTACTCCTGTAAAAGATAAATAACTAAAATCTCCAAAGTACAATTTAACTTTCTTTCAGGTAGTAATTGACTGTATCTTAATTCACCTTTTAGAATTTCTTTTACCTTCCAAAAGTGAGCATCCCACACCTCCAGAATATTATAGGCTTACCTTCCACTCAGGCTTCACATTTGTAATCTTTCATTCTTATTCCAGAGAAAATAGGAGAATGCATGCATGTTATATAATTTCCATGCCAGCATCAACAGAAAATAATAGAAGGAAACAGAAAAGGTATGACTCATTTCTATAATATGGGATTAGTTTTGATCAATACTGGAAATTTTCCTCTTCAGTGAATCTATTTTTTTTAAAGGAGTGGAAAAAGTTTATTCATTTTTTCCTCACCACATTCCAGAGATGAGTCTGGGATGACTGGTATTTATTTCACTGTATGTTTCGTTGCTCCCATTTGCAACCATATTATATAAAGTTTTCTGGATTGCTGCTAAAAAACAAGCACAACTACAGACTCTGGTGCATCATACTGAGAAGTGTCAGTGTTCAAAGTGTATCATTGGCCAACAGCAGTTTATTGGCATCCTACAATAGTCTTTAACTTCCTGCACTGATGCTTTCAAGGCAGAAAAATACAGATAAAATTCTGCCCTCAAATTACAAGCATTTTACTCTGATGCCTTTGAAAGTAGTTATAGTACATTTTTTGCTAAGAGCCCAAATAGGTCCATTATTAGTAAATTGCTTGCCTATAATCAGAGATGATTATAACGATTTGTTACCAAAACCCATCCTTATTGTGCCTTCTCTTGCAGTTTCTCAAGGTTTCATGTTTGCAGAAAGGTGAATACGTGGGGAGTGTTTGTGGAATTCTTAAAAGGCTTCCTTCTCTACAAGTGACCAAGTTTGGTATTAGTGAGCTGAAAGTAATCTTCCTAGAAGATCTGGTCACTTATTCCACAAAGTATGATAGTAATTGAAGCCAATAAGTTTAATTAATCAATACTTATCTTCTAAGGATATTTCTGCATATAGGGCATTAGAGTAGATAACATTCATCTGGAAATCTTGAGGAAAGGATAGGTTTGTGAATCTAATGAAGAGTATAAATTGTTATAATAATTAAATCAGATGAAATCAACTCTTAATCTTCCCTGTATTTTGTGTTAAAAGTACAGAGAATAGGGGATACAGCGTGCTGGAGGAATCTGAGAGGAAGAGAGTATTTTTAGATAGGGTTTTATCCTTAATTATTAAATACCTATGTTGTATTCCCAAAAGACAGGAAACCACTCTAATGCAAGGACCTTAGCTTTTATTTCTTTTTGATCCATCTACAGAACCTAGTAATGTCAAGGTTGTATTTCTTTTACCATACTGAGTTTTCTGGTATTTTACAACACAAATCTTCAATCTATTTGCTATTCTTTCATAGATACCAAGATGGACTGAACAGATCAGTTAAACTCTACTGGATTATCTTGGTACCAGTGTATCGTTACGTGCTTCTTCAGGTGTGCATTGTAGAGAAAAGGAAGATAGGTGAGGAAAGGAAAAGTGGAGTGGTGGTCATAGAAAGGATTCTATCTTCAGAGTCATGAGGCTTTTAGAGAAGAGCTCTAATTATCTTAATATATCCAAGAAGGAAAATCAAAAGAAGCCAAATAAGTGGACCACTTGGGGGAAACATGTATTTACAACTTAACCTAACATGTTGGTTAACCAGTTTTCTTATTTCCCTAAATACCCAAATAACATATCATTTATTTGTGTAAGATCTTCAGTAGTATGTTCCATAAATATTAACTAACTTAATTCTGTACAGAGCAACCAATATTGAACTAACAAGGATTGGAGAATAGTTCCTAAGCACTAAAAGATAATTTTATAAATGGAAGATAGTTCCAAGCTTCAAGCTCTGTAATGCCTCAAAAGAGATCTGAATGTCACACTTTGTAAGAGATTTTGTGTACATGTTTATGCTCTGGAGAAGAGCCACTTGCGTTGAAATCATTTGGTTCTAATCAAATGGTTTTAACAGCCATGATGGTCTCATGGTGTGCGAGTACCACCATGCTCCTGGAACCATGTAGCACAGTCCCCAAGACTAGTAGAAGAATGTTCAACGTACATCTGTTAGGAAGTGCTCCCGCTCTTGACCATCGGAAAGTCTACAGATGACTTACTGTTGGTTTCAAGACTCTCACAGAGTTCACTTTTCACCTCGCCATTTGGTCTGTCATTTCCTTTTTGGATCAGTTTGCTTTGCATGGTGGCAGCTGCCACCACAGCCTTGAAGCTCCTCTTGCGTTTTTGAACGTTCTGCTCTGGATGAAAAATTATAATATAAACCTTGGGCATATAGAGCATGCCCAGAGACACCGAAGCACTTAAACTCATGGAGACAGTAAGTGTTGTTGTCTGGATGTACATCTGAGGGGAGGAAAAAACAAAAAGAATCAATGTTGGTATGCTTGATCTAGGATGAAGCAAATAACCATTTTCTGAAGTTATTCCAGCTTCTCTGCTAAAGGTGCATGAGAAGGTACTTATTGAAATTGCCCTTAATTATAGTCAAGCATTCCTTTATCCCCACCTGCAACTGTGGGTAAGGTTGTATTGCTTATGAAGCCCAATTCCTTAAAACAAACACACAAACAAACAAACAAGCCAATGGAGGTTAGTTTCCCTTTTAGATTACGATGAAACATGTGTATGGAAGGGAGCAAAACCAGTCTGGCAAAAGACTAACCTTCTATGCCGCATAGCCCTTCTTCAGGGAGGTATCACAGGGTCAAGTGTTATTCTTTTAACAATAAACTTAACCTAGAAGGTAGATTATACATAGTGGAAATAGAGTGGAAGTGAAATATTCCAGAACCTCACTATTGCACACCATTGCTTGAATAATGCTGCTTTGTATCCTCACGTGATTACTTAATTCCAGCTGCCAAACCTGATAAATCACAAACATGGCATAAGGGCTTGATTTTTTTCTTTCAACAGCCCCTCTAAAGAACATTTCCAGAGGGTTTCTCAGTGATTGCATCACATCAAAATAAACGTGGGTGCTTTTACAAAATATGCAAGACCTGGGGCCGGCCCAGTGGCTTAGCAGTTAAGTGCTTGCGCTCCGCTACTGGCGGTCCAGGTTTGGATCCCGGGCGCGCACCGAGGCACCGCTTCTCCGGCCATGCTGAGGCCGCGTCCCACATACAGCAACTAGAAGGATGTGCAACTATGACATACAACTATCCACTGGGGCTTTGGGGAAGGAAAAAAAGGAGGAGGATTGGCAATAGATGCTAGCTCAGAGCCGGTCCTCATCAGCGAAAAGAGGAGGATTAGCACGGATATTAGCTCAGGGCTGACCTCCCTCACAAAAAAAAAAAAAAAAAATGCAAGACCTCCTCCCTCCAAGATTTCAATATGCTTTCTGGAGATAGGGTCCTAACAACTGCATTTTGAAAATTCTCCCTCTGTGCTCATTCCTTATCCTTATTCCACTGAAATTGACTGCTCTGGTATTTACAAAGAGAGGTCTCTGGAAGATTTTTCTTCCTACAATCTAAAGGTTAATAAGCTAAAAAAGCAAAACCTAAAATCACTGCTCTTGGCTTTTTCACTGTGGTATGAAAACAGACATGACAGTATTTTAATCTTTTTTTCTGCCCAATATTATTAAGGTATAATTGAAAAATAGAAATTGTATATATTTAAGGTATACAACTTGATGTTTTGATAAACGTAAGTATTGTGAAATAATCATTGCAATCAAGTTAATTAACATATCCATCACCTCACATTGTTACCATTTTCTTTCTTTTTTATTTTTTTGTGGTGAGAATACTTAAGATTTACCCTCTCTGCAAATTTGAAGTATACAATATAGTATTGTTATCTATAGTCACTAGGCTGTATATTAGATCTCCAGAACTTATTTATACCTTTTGACCAACAGCTCCCCGTTTCTGCTTCCTCTGCCCCTGGTAACCACTGTCCTACTCTGCTTCTATGAGCCTGACTATTTTAGATTCCACATATAAGTGAGATCATGCAATATCTGTCTCTGTGTCTGGCTTATTTCACTTAGCATAATATCTTCCGGGTTCATCTGTGTTGTCACAAATGGCAAGATTTCCTTCTTTTTTTAGGGTGAATAATATTCCATTGAATGTATATACCACATCTTCAAAAAATCTTTAGTCTACTTCCATTTTTCATGTCCTGAGCTTAAAATGTAATTTCCCCAAATAACCTGAAATACTGAGGCCATGAAGAAGCTGTGTTTTAAGATTATGAAGAGATCCCCTTTATCATATCTATGATCCTCATTAATGTCTGTTCACTCTAGTAATACCTCGGAAAATATAAAGTTTTCATATTGTATCTGGCAATTCCAGAACCCAAACTAATTGTGTCCTTTTTAATCAAGGATCTAAAAACGTGCACCTTCAAGGGTAAATACCTCAATCAGCCTCAGGGTTGCCTTTTCCTAGGGGAAAAGCTTTTTCCTAGGGGAAACGGTTTCTCTTAACAGATGGTAAAGCCCGGAGGTAAAGAACTGCCTAAACCATGAGGAGAACGTGAGTCACTACTAAAGAGACCGTCCCGGTCTGTGAAATCATACTATGTAGGTTACTGAGTTTACTGTTCAATTCATTTGTCACTAAGGCTGTCTTTTGCATAAGACCCTATCATGAGTATGGGAATACCCTTTAACAAGGTGATATATGATTTGGTTTGTTTCAAAGTTCATCTCCTCCGGGAAGTCCTCCATGATAAATCTTATCTTAATTATAATGTTTTTTATTTTACACCTAAGCACTAATTCATTGAAAAATAAATACAGCGGATCACTTACTAATGTGTAACTATGTGATTATAATCGTTTATATGAACTTCATAGTCAGTTATATGAAATGCACAAGTAGGGTATAAACTTCCTTAGAGCCTGTAACTGACATTTTTTCTTATATACCTCTAAGAAACTATACAAGAGTCTAGAAACAATAATTACTGAGAAACTGCTCATTATTTTTAGGTATATGAACATCTTTAAGAAGATCTGATTTATACAAGATTTGATTTACACCATCATGCAGAATATGCTTTCCATAATTTTCCCCCTGTCAAATGGACATCAGTAATGGCTATGACACAGGGTTGATGACATTTTAAGTAAGAAACACAAAGTGATGAGGTCTGAATCCAGATTTTAGGTTGGGCTCATGCATATTGGGCTCATGAATACCAGCCTCAAGAAAACATCATTCAAACACTTTCCTCAGCAAAGTGATAAATTACTACATGTCATGACCTTTCTTGCAACCTGCCAATAAGTGAAATCCCATGTTAAATTTGAGAGAACTAAGGATCTACCATAATTAAGAAGGTCTTGATAAAATGTGGATATGTGCCTTAAACCTCATAAATCTCACTAAGCTTTGCCACCTACTTTTAAGCAACTTATTATTATGAATACTCAGAAGCTTCTCACGTGTTGGTTAATCCTCTCTAAATTCCTACTTATTCTCCATCTAGCATTGCTGCAGAAAGCCTATGCAGAAAATGAACTGCAGAGCGTGGACATAAAGATAAGGAAAGGATACAGCCAAATGCAAACCACACATGTAACTATTCCAAAGTCACTCATATAGGTAACCATCAGTTTTGTCCCAGTCAGATTCTGACAAGTCAATTTAGCTTAAAAACAAACTAACAATAAACAAACAAAAAAACCTCCAGAGGTCAAACAGCCATGAAATGATGGGAACACTGACATTGATTAGTTGGATTATTTTTATATATCTTGATCTGTTGGTCTTGCTAAAACGTATAGCACTAGTTCGAACAATACACTAACACCTTTCTATTTTGAAAATCTTTCAATTTTCTCTGCCACTATAAATATAAACGACAATTTTCTTCCCTTATTCAGAATAATTTCTGTAATATATAGTAAATTTTATCTTGCTAAATATTAGGCATGAAGAAAATTCTAGAATGTTAGTTTCCACATTAAATACATTACGCAGTCTATCCTTTTGGCAGAACAACTCAATGGAAGAGGTAAAAAACGTAGACATTAGGACTAAACAGTACTATGCTTAGTGTTCCAAGCTCTCCATTAGACACTATGCTTTCAAATTACACCAAAATGCTCTTCTTACTCGTGTGCTCTCTTAAAACAGCTTCTGAAATTTTTTAATGTGAATTTAGTAGAGGAAAAGCATCTATACAAAATCGTACCCTAAAATCCAAAACCTTACAGTGGCCTAGCATTTGTTACACGGCCCTGCACTGTGAGTAGACTGAGTTTTTGAACGTCATCTTTGAATATTTAAGGAAATGAAAAAGTCATGTATATCATAACCCCAATGAAACCAACAACCGCAAAACAAGCAAAGAAATAAAAATGCCACCTACTCTCATTCTAGAGAAACTGAATCTGTATCATCATGGTTTACAGGATTCTGAATATCTCCCATATTTAAGAAGAAATGGAGAGATTATAGTAAAAGATTGAAAGTGAGCATTTGATTAAAAAATACTCATGGATTTTTGTATTCCTATTGAAAATTCTAATTATTTGAGCCATGTAAGAAAGGAATGCTACCACTTACAATTTCTTTCTTTTTTGTTTTTTTTTTTAAGATGAAGTTTATGAGAGACTCTGGAGTTGCCTCGTGGGTGGTAAAAGCCCCAAGTTGATCCACCAAGCAACAATCCAAACTCTAATAATACTTCCCTGGTAACTGGACAGCTGTGTGATCTTATTTTCCTCTCTGACCTTTAATTTCTTACCTACGAAATAGGGGGAAATAATATTTTTCTCATAGAAGGGTTACAGAGTAGAATGACACAATCTTTATAAAATGTCTCAAAGGCACAACACAGTAGTAACTCAACAAAGATTATTTGCCCAACAACTTTGAATCTAAAAGGACGCTAACAAAGAATCCTTCCAGGGATAAGAGAGGGGTCTACAAGCCAGTTATCCAAAGCAGACAGATTTGTTTAATGAATAACTAACAGTCATGCTCTAACTATATGATATCAAGGAACAGGCTTTTGTAATCTTAATTCAAAGTAGGCAAAATAAAATTTTGCCCAAAAGTCAACTCTATTTGCTGATGTCGGCCATATTACTGTCTGTGCTACAGTCCTTAAATAATACCCTGGCTCTCTGTATCAGTTACAGCTTACCAGAATGCAGGAGGGAACTATATTAACTCCCTGTAACCAACATAAATCCATTGAGAGATGCCAACAATGGCACTGGACATGTTAATGTAACCTTCTTTTTTTCCCAACCTTGTTTTGTGCCCCACCTCCTGCCTCCTGTCACTCCAAAATATTAATACCTGGAGGAAGAGGAGTATCTTTTCTATTACGTCCACTGATAACCTGTCACTTTTTCTGCCTCCAGA